TTACCCATGACAACGCTGCTGCCACCGCCCGATGCTGCCCTCAACGCACACGTTCACCACCGAACACGCACCGACCCCTTACCCGTGACAACACCGCCGTCGCCACCCAACTCTGTGCCCAACGCCCATGTCTGCCAATGACGTGCACGGATGCCCCCAACCCACAGGTAAGCCCCACACCCCCCAGCCATCCCAAAACTGCATGCTGACTGTTGCCCCATCCATCCCTCTGCCCTCCCCTTCTCTTGTACCCAACCCCACTCCCCCAACACCCCGCATCACACCCCCTCAACCGCCTGGACCTGGACCCGAACTGTGTGCCACACCTTGCCCCCCTCTTCCCCAACATGTATAATGACAATTGCCCTCTGTGTTTAGTTTAAGTAAGCATATACATTTTGTAGATAGACAATAATACAATTTTTTTTGGCCAAAAAAAAACTTGTGTGTTTTTTTGACGGAAAAAAACTTGTGTGAAATTTATTCTAAGTCCAAAGCTAACTTGTATTTATTATTTGAAGATACAATTCAACCATGGCTCGTACACCTGAACCATTCACTGCCACCAAGCGTGATGCTTCTGAGTCCCCTCCTGGACAGCATGATCCTAAGCGTAGCCGGCCAACCTCGGATGACTCTGACCAGGAGATGGAACAGTTGATGGACAACGTTGAGCTTGATGAGGAGGAGGATGACTACTATGATGAAGAAGAGACCCCAGCTAAGAAGAAGAAGGTGATGGTCATCTATGAGGATGATGATGAGGAGGACAATGAGAATGACCTTGGAGGATATCGTAAGTTCAATTTGTAATATTTCTTGTTATTCCTTTTTATTTGTTCTATTATTAGAGGAGCCAAGTTCCCAGAAGATCAAGCCCAAGACTGCTGCCACCTCTGCTGGTCTGAGGTCCAAAGTCTCTGCTAAATCTGTCTCCAAAGCTCCAAACCCTGAGTAAGTAGCATTTATATTTTAATTTCAACTTATATCTAATAGACTTTAGGTCTTATGGTCAGGTCTTGAAAGCATCTAGGTATGGTTTCTCCATTCTCTAATGATACTTTTATTGACCAGATTGTAGACGTACCTCTGAAGACAAGAACATTGAGGTCGAAGCTGCTGAGGATCCAGCTAAGCTCCCACCGTAAGTGCTTTCTTTATATTCTTTATCAAACTAATCATTCCTTTATAGTGTTGAGGCCATTCTTGAGTGTTCTGGAGCATCTACAGCTCCTTCTCGTCGCCCCAAGCCTAGGATGATAAGTCGTACAAATGATGATTCATCTGATTCTGGGATGGATGTTGATCATCAGGAGGGGGTTCAGGAAAAGCAGAAGAAGAAAGCTAAAGCCCCAGCTAAGCCAGTGGACAAAGGTATAGTCACAGTGCTCTCAATGTCTCATTATAATATATTAATAGTTTACTTCATACATAGGAAAGGGACCAGCTGTGCCCAAGTCCAAGTCCAAGTCCAAGCCCAGGCCTGAGCCTATCATTTCTCAAGCAGTTGGTAAGCTTATTTATTGATCTTTATTTTTTCTGTTTCAAACCTGTTCTTTTTCAGCCAATATTCTGCCAATGGGGTCTTCACGTGCAGTTGGAGGCTTTAGCCGAGGAAATGCACTGGGTAATGCCCCCAATCTTGCAGATATGGGTGGTTCATCTGGCCTGGCTCAAACTGATGTACTCGCTGTCACTGCACCCCCTCGTCCTGGCATCATCTATGTCTACCACCAGCGGGACACTCCCCAGCCCCAGAGTATCAAGGACATCTCTCCCTCTTGGTTCATCAAGGTCAATTTAAACCTGACACTAGGCAAGATCCTGGAGAAGGTTTGAGACCGTGATGAACACATTCAAAGTAATATTTATTTGTTCTATTCTTGTCATTCTTAATCTAACTACTATACTTAACAGATGATCGTGTGTTTATCTGGGATGATAAATATGGTTGGGAGGCTTATGGCCCATTCAAGCAGGCTATTATCAGCACTGACATCATTGAACTGAGGGAGCTAGAGGAGGGTGGACTTGGGATTAGTCTGCTAGCGGTAACATGTCTATATTAGCTTTAAGAATTATAACTGATCATTCTTCAGGCTCTTGACGTGTCAATCAACCATCTTGATCTTCTTGGTCGAGGCAGTACATCATGTATCCCCTCGGTTTCAAGCTCGATTGCTGGTAATGTCTCTTGTCCTTCTAGCCCTCTGGCATCTAGTTTCTCTGTCTATGAGGAGGAGCTCATCAACAAGTTGGAGGTTGATTGGGCTCTCCTTCAGAGTGGAAAGAAGGGTTCTCCAAGTGACTTTGACTTGTGCAAAGCATGGAGAATTTTCAACTTTGTCGAGTCATCAGCGTTGAGAGTCAAGGAGTTGGAACTCTCTAAGAGACCCACCCAGAAGGATCTTCAGGATCTTTTTGTTCAAAAGACACAGTACAACTCTTATCAGAAGGTTTTCAGAACGGTCGCAAAGTCCTTTGAGGAGATGAAGGATTGGTTGGATGAGGAAGGTGTAGATGCAGAAGAGAATGAGCGAGTCTGGGGTGAGGATCGGGTCAAGTATTCTTTGACAGACTTGATCAAGTGGGTGGAGAATGAAGGAGAGCCGATTTTTAAAGGTGAAGAGGAGCAAGAGCCAGAACCTGTGGCCACCAAGAAACGTGCAAAAGGGACTCCAAAGGTGAGTGGTGTAGAGGTGAAGAAATCCAAGAAGAAGGCAGCTGCATTGAGGACCACGTAAAGTTCATTTCCTTAAAGTTGTACTTGGAAATTCAAATATTTATTTCTGTCTGCTTTTTTTTTGGAGGGGGTTTGAATTTAGATCTCAGACATCTTTCTGGTTCTGGGTTCTGTGGCTTCTCTGTGCTCTGGCTTGGCTCCCTCTATCATCTGCTCAGGATCCTTCTATTCTACCCTTTCCCAATCCATCCTTCAAAAGCTTTAGTGATTTCATACTAGGCAACTTCAACTCCAACATTTCTCTAACGTCAACACTACTCATTTTATTCTCATTGGTCAACAATCCAGAGCTTCTTAATCTCCACGCTTGTCAAACTCATCCAGTCTTTGTGGATGAGTCAGCTATGCATGCTTCAGCATGGATGAAAACTCTAGCTCATGCATTAGGTGCTCAGTTGAAGGGTAATCTAGGGCAAGTTGTACAGCAGGTGGATGCTTCAGACACTGGATTTGCCAAACACTTGGACAAGCTTACAGTTTTCTTGGGCTTAACACCTTACAAGCCTAATGGGACCCTTAGATGCAAGATTAGTCAGGTTTCTCAGGATTCAATCGCACCAGTTCAAATACTTGGTCCTTCAAACATGGCTTGTACAACCCCTACCTGTCAACCTCGTCATATCTCTGTGTTTAGTCGGGTTCGAGATATTCCTAAGGTCACTTTGATCATAGGGACTACAGTCTCCAGTCTCCAACAATGCTTATGTTGTTCCTGGAGAGTGTACTGTCTGTAAAACCCACTACTATCCTGACCACAAGGACTTTCCTTCTCCGGTCTACAATCAACGACAGGAGATTCATCTCAACTCAGCTTGTTATCTCAAGATTGGCCAAACTCTTTGGGTGGATCGAGTTTTCTCAAAGGCAGTTCTCAGTGCAACATACAACTTTCATGCATCTGCCAATGCCTACACTCAATTCTGGAATGACAGCTTTGGTAATGTGACTACCAAGGTGGTACTAGGGAGACCGCAGATTTGGCAGGCTTTTGTGCACGAGTCAACTCGCATGGTTGCAACAGCTCTAGAAGAGGACTTTGAGACTGATGCAAATGCAAAGGTGGATGAGGTTTGTGGCCTTGAATATTATTATATTAGCACTGATTGAACTTTGGCTTAGGTGGTTGAAGATGCATATGTAGTGCTGGGGAACAAAGGACGTTTGCCTCTAGCAGGTGATCATACCTGCTCTCAATGCACACAGCCATATGTTCCTCAGCCTGGAGAAGATCTTGATGAGGATGATGAACAACTTCCTGTTAACATGATTGTGGTGGATGGCATTGTTGTAGAACCAACGGTATTTTCTTCTTATACTCTGTTAGCTTCAAATCTAATTGACATTTACTTAGCATTGTGCATTTGAGGATTGTACCAATGAGCTAGCAAATGCTCGTGGTGATCCTTTCTGTATAATGCATGAAATTGCTTATGGCAATAGGTAATGTTCTAAGTTCATAATAATAATATGATATTGATAGCTATTATATTAGGTGTCATATGGTTGACTGTCATGAACCTAAAGTCTTTGGCACTCTGGCTTGTAACCAGCATCAGAACAAGTGGAACCAACATCGTCAGAGCAAGAGCAAGCCAGAACTCAATGGTCTGCGACGTGTTATCCAGCAACATGGTGCACTTTTACCTTGGCAACAGCAGCAGCAGCCTCAGGACCAGCCTCATGATGAAGATCAGCCTGACAATCAGGTCCACAGACATTATTTTTCTCCCAATCGTTACTACTGCGTTGAAACTATTTGTGCACCTTGTGGAGTTGTTCAGGCTTGGACACTATTTGCCAAGTCAGAATCACCTACCAACATTCTCAACTGGCTGTTGGAGGTCTATCCTACTGAGGAGTCCCGGCCTTCATATATTTGCATTGATAAAGCTTGCATGGTAAGTGTTGATATTTTTTCTTTGAGCTAAAACTAATGATTATATAGGTTCTGCGCACAGCAGTAAGATCTGGTGCATTTGCAGATCACTGGATAAATACCAGCCGCTTTATTGTGGATATGTATCATCATACAAACCACAAGGCAACTGATGTACTTTGTTGGGAATGGTGCAATCCAGCACCATTAGACAACAGTGCACCAAATCTAGTTGGAGAGGAGATTGATGCCAATGGTGTTGTTCATAAAGTGAGTAATTCTACTTGATATTTTGTATGTTAACTTATAGATTATTAGGTTCGCAAGTTTAACACTGAGGCTGCAGAGCAACTTAATTCATGGCTAGCTGGCTATGAATCAATTCTCAAGCGAATGGTTCTCAGAAACTTCAGGTGGTTCTTGCATACCATGTTGTTTTATCATGTTCAACAGGTGATGAAAAGAATTGAGGATAACGAAGTCAGTAGTAGTGATGAAGAAGGTAGCAGTAGTAGGAGTGAGGAAGAGAGTAGAGAAATAGAGGTAGATGACTGAAGACTTTATTAGTACAAAATTCAACTCTGGATCATTGTCTACTAGTGAACTCCTATAGAACTCCAGTGGACTCCAGTGGACTCCAGTGAACTTGAAGTGCAGGATTATCATATATTAAAAGTTAAGTTGCAGATATAGAAGTCTATTAGACTCCAGAAACATATGTACTATGCTTGACTCCAGTACAAGTCCACTGGAGTCTAGCTATGATATTTACTAAGACAATACTACTGGACTTTAAAGTCCAGTCAGTACCTTACTCCAGTGGAGTCCAGTGGAGTCCAGTGTAGTGCCACTGGAGTCCAGTACTACACACCAGTAGCACACCAGTATTATACTCCAGTGGAGTCCAGTGGAGTCCAGTAGCACTCCAGTAGTACTCCAGTGGAGTCCAGTACTATACATCAGTAGCATACTAGTATTTATACTCCAGTGGAGTCCAGTGGCATACACCAGTACTATACTCTGTATGATACTCTAGTAGACTCCAGTAAGGACATATAGTGGAGTCCAGTAAGACTCCAGTAAGACTCCAGTACCACACTCCAGTGGAGTCCAGTATACCTTCTTACTGGAGTCCACTGGAGTCCACTGAACTCCAGTATAACTCCACTGGACTCCACTGGACTCTACTGGATAATATGCCAACTCCAGTGGACTCCAGTGGAGTCCTATAGGACTCCGTGGGGGACCACTAAGTACTGCACATATGCACACATAGACACCCTCCTCGAAATTTGTAAAAACAGATTTGATATTTTATTCTTCCAAGAAACGCCTTGGAACTTCATAAGACACGCACTGTCCACCACTAGCATGGAGGGCGATGAGGTTATCAGTGCACCGAAGCATCCTGACTGGCTGCAGATGGTGCACATTAAGGACAGGGAAGCTCCCCACGTGATCACCTATGTTTCAACTAGGCTCTCCCGCTATCGTCCTGCTTTTATNNNTTTTTTTTTTTTTATCAACAATTTATATAGCGGTGCTCGATGGCAGCCTGCTCACTATCTACAAACACGTACACTACGGCCTGGGTACTAAGTAAACTACTAAAAGACGTCTGCCCCCCCAACCATGAGCCTTGTGGCTCAAACACCTAAACTCCCACAAAGCCAGACCCACCTCGCGAAAACGGTGACACGGGATAAGGGGAGGAGACCATCAAGGCCCCGCTAAACCCCAGAGCCGTCGGACACTGTTCGGAGGCCACGCAGCGCAAATGAGATAAGAAGAGCACCACCTGGGAGGTGGCAGGGTGTCTTGAGGCCAACAAGCCAGAGGTGCACCTGCCCGAAACCAGACGCAGAAAGTTAGCGGCGCCGCAACACGCTACAATAGCGGCTGCAAGCACGAAAGAGTGGAACTGGCGCAGGTCTTCGAACCCTAGGGTTCAGTGGTGTCAATTCACCATAAATCCCCCAAAAGGAGGAACAACCCCACCCCAACGATTATCCGACCCCCGAAGGGTCCCGGTTGAAGCCAAACGCCGTAGGGTTGTACTTCATAAACGATGCAATATCCCTGAGAAAACAGGGATAGTGTACAGAGTATCGATCGCGACAGCGAAAGAGGACGTGCTGATGGGACTGCAAAGCAGCCCCACAAGTGCAGCCATGAGGCTCATTGATCTTGAAGCGACGGTAATACGCTCCAATGGGTGCATGGCAAGTTATACACACGCAAACACAGGTAAACTCAGTGATACTGTGTCTGAAGGTTGAAAGCCAAGGTCCCTCGTTGAGGTACAATGGCTGAATCGGCCGCCCGTCAGGCTGTTGAAGCTCTAAAAATTCAGAGCCTCGGTAAGTTGGATCCTGGCAAGTGGACACTATCATCCCGCTATGCATTGTGACATCGTTGACCATCGCGACATTCTCGTCCTCTCCCTCTTTAGTGGGGGTGAGGTTCTCAATCTAATGAACATCTACTCTGACGATCAACACACAGCCATTGAGCACCTCGCTGCTCGTGTGCATTCTCTTCCGCCCTTCATTGACATGGCAGGCGACTTCAACTGCGTTTCGATGACTTGGGATGACTATGAGCATGGCGAGTCATCAACAGCAATAGCCCTGCGGGACACTGCATCTCAGATCGGCCTTGAGTGGGCACGACCTTCTAACCATGGACCAACGAGGATCAGTCCTAATCCAAACCAGAGATCCAATGTATTGGATCTTGTATTCTTAGCCCCATCTGAGATCTTAATCTCGATGCCCAGATTGGAGCACAATCTCCAGGGTCCATCAGATCATGTCCCGATCTGCACAGATCTTGATATCAGTCCTGAACCGCCTGGATCTGGGCGACGGACAATTAAACCCAGAAGCGAGGCTGAGAAGTCTTTCATTTCGGACATTCTCCGGGATCTTGCGGCTATTCCTGTCGCAGCCCCGGCTACCAAGGAAGGCATTGAAGCTTTAGCCGATGCTATTGCGACAGTGTTCTCAGACACATGGCTTGCCCACTTGACCGAGTCCAAACCTACCAAGCACTCCAAGTCCTGGTGGACAGACAAGTGTTCAGAGACATTCGGAGTATATCAGTTGAGCCGCTCGCTGGCTGATTACAACAAATTCAAGAAGGCGTGTAAAGACGCCAAGCATGATTTCTTTGATGAATGTATCACAGAAATCACTACCTCTCGCAAGCACCCGTGGGACCTAATGGAATGGGTCAAACAGCACAAGCTACCACCCTGTGAGGCTATTTGCAATGGTGACCAGCCTTGCCATGATATGGACAACCTCTGGGACACCCTTCACGGCATGTACAACTCGGCCTCTGGTCACGAGTATGACACCTCTGTTCTAGACGAGCTTCCTGATGAGCCAGTCTGGGAGTGGGCTGACTTTTCGGAGCATGAGTTGTTGAGTGCCCTTAAGGGGTGTTCCAACTCCTCTGCACCAGGACTGGACCATGTTACATGGGTCCACCTAAAGGAGTTGCTCAAGGATAAACACGTCCTTGTGCTCTTCGTCGTGTTGGCCAACACTTGCCTTCAGGTGGGCCATTGGCCACGTATATTCAAGGAGTCGCTATCGGTCATCGTACCAAAGCCGAATAAGCCCTCCTATACAGTCCCAAAGGCTTTCAGCTCTATAGTACTCCTCATCACTTTCAGTAAACTTATAGAAAAGATGATTGCCAATAGAATACAGTTTGACGCTGTCAAACATGATATCTTTCACCCAAACCAACCTGGTGGCATTCACCAGAGGTCCACTGAGGATGCTGGATTGATCCTGACTCATCTCATGTGAGCAGGGTGGGTTAAGGGTCTCCAGACTAGCGCGCTGGCTTTTGACATCGCGCAGTTCTTCCCTTCTATCAACCATGAAATGTTCATGGCTGTCGTGCGCAAGCAAGGATTCTCGCCAATTTTGGTGGAGTTCTTTGCCTCTTATCTTCTTGGTCGCTCCACGGTCTACTGCTGGAACACCTTCCAATCCGACTCGCGCTCTGCGGACATGGGTGTTGGGCAGGGCTCTGCTCTCTCGCCTGTTATTTCAGGGCTTTTCATTGCTCCGGTGATGAAGCTCTTCTACATCAAGGCGGCACTGCTCAACACAACGCTACTCTCCTTTGTGGATGATGGGACCATTCTGGCCCAGTCCAAACAACTCAATGATAATAATGTGGGCCTGCGTAAGGCCTACAAAATTATCTACCTTCTTTTTGTTGCCTTCGCACTCGTCCTTGAACATGGCAAGACCAAGCTGTTCCACTTTTCGCGTTGGCGAGATGCCTATAATCCCTGGCTGGATTTGGGGTACGCCCCACATACAGGCACTACACCTTTGAAGCCCAAGACCTATTGGAGGTACTTGGGCTTCTACTTTGACCACAGGCTCACATTCCATGAGCACGTTCACCACTATGCCACCAAGGCATTTACCACTGTGCAGGCCATGCGCATGCTCGGTAACTCCACCAGAGGTCTCTCGCCTAGACAGTGGCGCCTCCTTTATAGGTGATGCGTGGTTCCCATTGCCACGTATGGCTATCATCTCTGGTATTTCGATGGCGCCTGTAATAAAGGCGCCATGAACCAGCTCAAATGGATGCAGCGAAAAGCTGCTCTATGGATCATGGGTGCATTCCGCACCTCACCCACAGGTGGTCTTGAGGCCCTCGCAGGTCTCATCCCCATTCACCTCATGCTGAAGAAGTTGGCCACGCGCACAGTGTATTGTGTCACCACCCTCTCAGACACTCACCCTCTTTGCTCCATGATGGGCGAGAGACTCCTCAAGCGGGCTGAACCACATGCCCGCTCTGCCGCCTTGATGACCCCAGCTATGCGAGGGAAAGTCAAGAGCACCGTCATGGAGGTGGACTAGCGCGTCCACACCTTAATTGAGAGCTTTGAGCCCTTTGTGCCCAAAGCTCGCCCTGGTGACCGGTTATTGGACCACTACGCAGACTGTCTCCACTTTGACGAGTGTGATCCTGCCCAGGATAGGCGACCATATCTTGACGAGCTCATTGCGAAAGCAAGGGCCAACCCTCTGACAGTACTGGCTGCAACTGATGGCTCTGTCCCTCAGTCCAACCAGTATCAGGCAGCCTCGGCAGCCATCATCTACAAGGGACATTGTGAGCTCGAAAGGACTTGACTCGTTATGTCTCTGGCAGAGTTACCGCCCCGGATGCGGAACTCAATGCCAGTGCACCTTGCTGTCACGCAGGCAAACTGCCAACATATTATGGTCTTTACTGACTCTATGGGCTCGGCCCATAGAGCGGTCAACCCTTCCGTGCACTCTGGTCAGGCTTTCAGCTTGTCGGTCTGTCATGCTCTCCAAGAGTGGTTCGAGGCGGATGATCTCCGCCGCATCACCTTTATCTACGTTCCATCTGCTTTGCGGTGGGATATCCATGGTGAGGCACACAAGTACGTCACCGAACTCAAAGTCAGGGTTGGATGTCGCAAGACAGACAACTCCATAGACGCGCTACGCTCCCGAGCCGCGCACTCAGTCCTGGATTCGTGGGGTTCCACTTTCCAGGATCCAACCTACCGAGGCTCTGAATTCTTAGAGCTTCAACAGCCTGACGGGTGGCTGCTACAGCCATCGTACCTCAATGGGGGACCTTGGCTCTCAACTTTCGGACACAGTATCACTGAGTTTGCTCGCTTTTGCCAGTGCATAACTGGCCACGCGCCCATTGGAGCGTATTACCGTCACTTCAAGATCAATGAGCCTCATGGCTGCACTTGCTGGGCTGCTTTGCAGTCTCGCCAGCACGTCCTCTTTCGCTGCCGTGATTGTTACTCCATGCACTACCCCCGCTTTCTTGAGGATATTGCATCTTTTATGAAGTACAACCCCACTGCATTTGGCTTCAACCGGGACCCTTCGGGGGTTGGGTAATCGTTTTGGGCGGGGTTATTTATTCGAACACCTTAACTGAGAGCTTCGAGCCCTTTGCGCCCAAAGCTCGCCCAGGTGATCGGTTATTGGACCGCTATGCGGACCGTCTCCACTTTGACGAGCGCGATCCCACTCAGGATAGGTGCCCATACCTTGACAAGCTCATCACGAAAGCAAGGGCCGACCCACTAACAGTACTGGCTGCAACTGATGGCTCTGTCCCTCAGTCCAACCAGTATCAGGCGGCTTTGGCTGCCATCATCTACAAGGGACATTGCAAGCTCGAAAGGACTCATTATGTCTCTGGCAGAGTTACCGCCCCGGATGCGGAACTCAATGCCAGTGCACCTTGCTGTCACGCAGGCAAACTGCCAACATATTATGGTCTTTACTGACTCTATGGGCTCGGCCCATAGAGCGGTGGACCCGTCTGTGCATTCTGGACAGGCTTTTAGCTTGTCAGTTTGTTGTGCTCTCCAGGAGTGGTTCGTAGCGGATGACCTCCGCTGCATCACTTTCGTTTACGTCCCGTCCACACTGCGGTGGGATATCCATGGTGAGGCACACAAGTATGTCACTGAGCTTAAGGTCAGGGTTGGACGTCGGAAGACGGACAACTCTATAGACACGCTCCACTCTTGAGCTGCGCACTCAGTCCTGGATTCGTGGAGTTCCACTTTCCAGGACCCAACCTACTGGGGCTCTGAATTTTTAGAGCTTCAACAGCCTGACGGGCAGCCGATCCAGCCATCGTACCTCAATGGGGGACCTTGGCTGTCAACCTTTGGACACAGTATTACTGAGTTTGCTCGCGTTTGCCGGTGCATCACTGGCCACGTGCCCATTGGAGCGTATTATCGTCGCTTCAAGATTAATGAGCCTCACAGCTGCACTTGTGGGGCTGCTTTGCAGTCCCGCCAGCACATCCTCTTTTGCTGTCATGATAGATACTCTGTACACTATCCCCGATATTGCATCATTTATGAAGTACAATCCTATGGCATTTGGCTTCAACTGGGACCCTTTGGGTGTCGGATAATCGCTGCAGACAAGGTTGTTCCTCCTTTTGGGGGATTTATGGTGAATTGACACCACCGAGCTCTAGGGTTTTTTTTTTTTTTTTTTTTTTTTTGATCAACAATTTATATAGCGGTGCTCGATGGCAGCCCGCTTGCTATCTACAAACACGTACACTACGCGGCCTGGGTACTAAGTGAACTACTAAAAGACGTCTGCCCCCCCAACCACGAGCCTTATGGCTCAAACGCCTAAACTCCCATAAAGCCAGACCCACCTCGCGAAAACGGTGACTCGGGATAAGGGGAGGAGACCATCGAGGCCCCGCTAAACCCCAGAGCCGTCGGACGCTTTTCGGAGGCCACGCAGCGCAAATGAAATAAAACAGCACCACCTGGGAGGTGGCAGGGTGTCTTAAGGCCGACAAGCCAGAGAAGCGCCTGCCCGAAACCAGACACAGAAAGTTAGCAGCGCCGCGACCCGCTATAATAGCGGCCGCAAGCGCAAAGAAATAGTGGCAGGTGCAGGTCTTCGAACCCTAAGGCTCGGTGGTGTCAATTCACCATAAATCCCCCAAAGGGAGGAACAACCCCACCCACAATGATTATCTGACCCCCGAGGGGTCCCGGGTGAAGCCAAACGCCGTAGGGTTGTACTTCATAAAAGCTGCAATATCCCCAAGAAAGCGGGGGTAATGCACGGAGTAACGATCGCGACAGCAAAAGAGAATATGCTGGCAGGACTGCACAGCAGCCCCGCAAGTGCAGCCATGAGGCTCATTGATCTTGAAGCGACAATAATACGCTCCAATGGGCGCGTGGCCAGTTATACACCGGCAAACGCGGGCGAACTCAGTGATACTGTGTCCGAAGGTTGAAAGCCAAGGTCCCCCATTGAGGTACGATGGCTGTAGCAGCCGCCTGTCAGGCTGTTGAAGTTCTAAGAATTCAGAACCTCGGTAAGTTGGATCCTGGAAAGTGGAATTCCATGAATCCAGGACTGAGTGCGCAGCTCGAGAGCGAAGCGCGTCTATAGAGTTGTCCATCTTACGACGTCCAACCCTGACTTTGAGTTCAGTGACGTACTTGTGTGCTTCACCATGGATATCCCACCGCAGAGCGGATGGGACGTAGACGAAGGTGATGCGGCGGAGATCATCCGCCTCAAACCACTCTTGAAGAGTGCGACAAACTGACAGGCTGAAAGCCTGACCAGAATGCACGCCAGGGTCAACCGCTCTATGGGCCGAGCCCATAGAGTCAGTAAAGACCATAATATGTTGGCAGTTAGCCTGCTTGACAGCAAGGCGCACTGCACACGAGATGGCATTGAGTTCCGCGTCTGGGGCGGTGACTCTGCCAGAGACATAACGAGTCCTCTCGAGCTCGCGATGTCCCTTGTAGATTATAGCAGCCGAAGCTGCCTGATACTGGTTGGACTGAGGGACAGAGCCGTCAGTTGCAGCCAGTACTGTTAGTGGGTCGGCCCTCGCTCTCGCGATGAGCTCGTCTAGGTATAGACGCCTATCCTGGGTAGGATCGCGCTTGTCAAAGTGGAGACGGTCCGCATAGCGGTCCAGCAACCGATCGCCTGGACGAGCTTCGGGCGCAAAAGGCTCGAAGCTCTCAGTTAAGGTGTGGACACGCTCGTCCACCTCCATAACAGTGCTCTTGACTTTCCCTCACATGGCTGGGGTCATCAAGGCGGCAGAGCGAGCATGTGGTGCAGCTCGCTTAAGGAGTCCCTCGCCCATCATAGAGCGAAGAGGGTGGGTGTCCGAGAGGGTGGCTACGCGGTACACTGCGCGCGTTGCCAACTTCTTCAGCATAAGGTGGACGGGGATGAGACCCGCTAGAGCCTCAAGACCGCCGGTGGGGGAGGTGCGAAAAGCACCCGTAATCCATAGAGCAGCTTTTCGCTGCATCCGTTTCAACTGGTTCATCGCGCCCTTGTTGCGAGCGCCATCAAAATACCAGAGACGATAGCCGTATGTGGCAATGGGGACCACACACGACCGATATAAGAGGCGGCGCTGTTTAGGCGAGAGCCCTCTAGTGGAGTTGCCAAGCATGCGCATGGCCTGCACGGTGGTGAACGCCTTGGTGGCGTAGTAGCGAACGTGCTCATGAAATGTGAGCCCGCGGTCAAAGTAGAAGCCCAAGTACCTCCAATAGGTCTTGGGTTTCAAAGGTGTGGCACCGGTATGTGGGGCATACCCCAGATCCAGCAAGGGATTGTAGGCATCTCGTCGACGCGAAAAGTGAAACAACTCGGTCTTGTCGTGTTCAAGAACGAGCGCGAAGGCAACAAAGAGGAGGTAGATAATTTTGTAGGCCTTACGCAGGCCCACATTATTATCATCAAGTTGTTTGGATTGGGCCAAAATGGTCCCATCATCCACAAAGGAAAGCAACATCATGTTAAGCAGTGCCGCTTTGATATAGAAGAGCTTCATTACCGGAGCAATGAACAGCCCAGAGATAACAGGCGAGAGAGCAGAGCCCTGCCCGACACCCACGTCCGCAGACCGCGAGTCGGACTGGAAGGCATTCCAACAGTATACTGTGGAACGACCAACAAGATAGACCCTTGTGCTTGCGAAGAACAGCCATGAACATCTCATGGTTGATAGAGGGGAAGAACTGCGCGATGTCAAAAGCCAGCGCGCTAGTCTGGAGACCCTTAACCCACCCCGCTCGCACGAGATGGGTCAGAATCAATCCAGCATCCTCAGTTGACCTCTGGCGGATGCCACCCAGTTGGTTAGGATGAAAGATATCATGCTTGACTGCGTCAAACTGTATCCTATTGGCAATCATCTTTTCGATAAGTTTACCAAAAGTGATGAGGAGTACGATCAGCCTGAAGGCCTTCAGTACGGAATAGGAGGGCTTATTTGGCTTCAGAACAATAACCAATAGCGACTCCTTAAATATACGCGGCCAATGACCCACCCGAAGGCAAGCGTTGGCCAGCACGATGAAGAGCACAAGGACGTGTTTATCCTTGAGCAACTCCTTTAGGTGGACCCACGTAACGTGGTCCAGTCCTGGTGCAGAGGAGTTGGAACACCCCTTAAGGGCACTCAACAACTCATGCTCTGAAAAGTCAGCCCACTCGCGGACCGGCTCATCGGGAAGCTCGTCTAAGACTGAGGCATCGTACTCGCGACCAGAGGCCGAGTTGTACGTGCCGTGGAGGGCGTCCCAAAGGTCGTCCATATCATGACAAGGCTGGGCCATTGCGAATAGCCTCACAAGGTGGTAGCTTGCGCTGTTTGACCCATTCCATCAGGTCCCACGGGCGCTTGCGAGAGGTAGCGATTTCTGCAATACGTTCATCAAAGAAATCACGCTTGGTGTCTTTACACGCCTTTTTAAACTTGTTGTAATCAGCAAGCGAACGGCTCAACTGATATACTCTGAATGTTTCCGAGCACTCTTCCGTCCACCAGGACTTGGAGCGCTTGGTAGGTTTGGACTCAGTCAAATGGGCAAGCCATGCGTCCGAGAACGCTGTCGCGATAGCATCGGCTAAAGCTTCAACGCCTTCCTTGGTTGCCAGGGCTGCGACAGGAATAGCCGCAAGATCCCGGAGAATGTCCGAAATGAAAGACTTCTCAGCCTCGCTTCCGGGTTTAATTGTCCGTCGCCCAGATCCGGGCGGTTCGGGACCGATATCAAGATCTGTGCAGATCGGGACATGATCTGACGGACCCTGGAGATTGTGCTCCAATCTGGGCATCGAGATTAAGATCTCAGATGGGGCTAAGAATACAAGATCCAATACGTTGGATCTCTGGTTTGGATTAGGACTGATCCTCGTTGGTCCATGGTTAGAAGGTCGTGCCCACTCGAGGCCGATCTGAGATGCGGTGTCCCACAATGATATTGCCGTCGACGACTCGCCATGCTCATAGTCATCCCAAGTCGTTGACACGCAATTGAAATCCCCTGCCATATAGATGAAAGGTGGTAAGGAATGCACATGAGCAGCGAGGTGCTCGATGGCTGTGTGTTGATTGTCAGATAGATGTTCATTAAGTTAAGAACCTCACCCCCACTAAAGAGGGAGAGGACGATAATGTCGCGATGGTCGACGATGTCGCGACGCATAGCGGGACGATAGCGGGATAGCCTAGTCGAAACATAGGCGATCACGCGGGGAACTTCCCCTTCCTTAATGCGCACCATTTGCAGCCAGTCGGATGCTTCGGTGTGCCGATAACCTCATCGCCCTCCATACTAGTGGTGGACGGTGCGTGCCTTATGAAATTCCAAGGGGTTTCTTGGAAAAATAAAATATCAAATCTGTTTTTACAAATTTCGAGAAGAGTGTCTACGTGTGCATAGGTGTGACGAACGTTCTGACAGTAAATACGTAGCCCGCTATTTAGATCCTGCTGGTTTCCCAACATTAGTCTAGGTTCGAGGGTTAGTAAGTTGGCGGCGAGCAGCATGCTCACGTACCTGACGATACTCGGCCATGATCCACTCACGGTCGTAGCGATGGGCCCAGAACTTACACGAAGCCGAGTTGGCGGCGTGGTCCTTGTGGCAGTTGACACAGCGGCCCTTGTGGGGGCAGGGCTGGTCGCGAGGGGTGGGCGGCACAGGGGGTTTCGCTTTCGCGTTGCCCTTGCAACATCCCGCATGTTGACGGTGCTCCTTCTGCTCATGTGGACCCGAACAGATGGGGCAAGAGAGTTGTTTCGCCTTGCAGGCGACAGTGGGGTGGCCCCACTTCCAGCAGCGCTGGCATAGCGGGACCCCGGTGTGACGTGCAGCGGGCCTGATTGCGCAGGACCGCCCAGCGAGGAAGATCGGTTGGCCTAAGGCCTTCTTGGCACGGGTTCCCTGCTGGGAATCCCAAATATTGCAATAGACGGTGCACGATGTTGAGTGCGCCGAGTTGCGGTCGATCCGAGGCTTGGTGCTCAGATATGCGAAGACCTCAGCATGAACCGAGGTACGGAGGGCCTTTTCAAGCGCCTCCTGGGTGATCTTCAACCCTTTCAGATCGAAGTAGGGAACATCGAGGATCTTTATGAAAGATGTTGATGATGGGAGCGCGACCTCGAACGGAGTACCCGTTGGGAGGCTTTCGCGAATAAAGTTACGCAGTACGTCCAGGTCGGACGGGCTGGCAACGGTGGGGGTGACCAACGACAAACCGTCGTATGCACGGACAATGGAGGTGACCTTAAGCATAGATCGACCATCCCTGAGGTACCCATTGGCTGCACGAACAGCCGACTCGGTGAAGAATTTCATGAGGTCGGGAGGGGTACCTCCGAGGTGGGGCCCTCAGAAGTAAAAGAAGGAACGGATCGATGAGGTGAAGTCTTCATCGGACCCGTTGGGAATGAGGGGGGAGGGGAAGGCCCACGACGTTGCGGTCCCAAGCCAGGAGGCGGGGGAGGCATCGGAGCGGCCTGTTTGGCAATCCCTGCCCACGTCGTTGGACGGGGCTTGGGTTTGGTGGCGCGATTGATCGGCGGAGGCGGACCAGGGCGAGAGTAGGCCACCTTACTCTTCTTCTGAGGAGGAGGTGGGACCGGACGATCGACACCCTTACGCTTCTTAGAGGCGGGGATGCGAGGAGGGGAGGCCGGGCGACCAAGGTCGTCCAATGCCTGCATGAGGACGTCGGGCGGGGCCCCTACGCCAGCGACACCCTCGTCGAGCGGCCCATGGGCAGCAGGAGGAGGAGGCCTGAATACGGGAGCCGGGTGAATGGTTGGCTCGTCCTTGGAAGACGTCTCAGCCTCGAGGAGGGAGGCGAGCGAGAAATTGTCGAGTTCGCCTGGACCGCGAATACGACTGAAGTCAGTGGCCATGACGGCGTTCACGAAGGACGTCATCTGGGCCACAAAGGCATCGCCCCCATCAATGGTGAGCGGATTGTGGTGCGCTGCCCGCAGAACCCAATCTGTGGCCTTCGCAATGGAGGTGGTCAATACCTCGAGATCGCCAGGAAGATCCTCGACCGTGTCTCGGAACTTCAAGGCGTATTGACCTAGGAGTAGGTCGACGGAGGGGTCCCTCAAGACCTCCTCCCCTCCCTGAGTGCCCTCAACCTCCATCTCCTGGGGGTGGGCCGTCCCTGAGTCAGACTCATCTTCAGACGAATGGGCAGAGCCCATGGTGGAGCGGGACCTGCGGCGGGGTGACGTGTGGCGAGATCGAGCTGGCATGACCGTCGAGTATGTGGCCCTAGTCGAGGTAGGGTCTGGCGAGATTGGCGAGGCATCACCACCAAAAGACGATGAGCCAGCGACCGATGGTGGTATTGCTGGTGGTGCGGAGCCCGAGTCCCCCCCACGACGGCTCCTAGGAACTGCCCCAGGGGGCCTCGCGCCCCAACCTCTCGGTGGGAGGTCGGACATGTGTTGCTGGTGCGGTACGAACGATCAAAAGAGGTCTTCTGGCTTGTCGATAAAGCGCTAGACGATGTACGAGATGGTGAGCTGGTTGTTTGCGCTTGTTGACAAGTGGGCGTTCAAGAGAAAGAGGCGTTGTCGACCGAGCTCTAGGGTTCGAACACCTGCGCCAGCTTCACTTCTTCGTGTTTGCGGCCCACTAACATAACGGGTTGCAGCACCGCGAACTCTCTGCGTCTGGTTTCGGGCAGGCGCATCTCTGGCTTGTCAGCCTCAAGACACCCTGCCACCTCCCAGGTGGTGCTGTTTTATCTCATTTGTGCTGCGTGGCCTCCGAACAGTGATCAACAACTTTGGGGCATAGCGGAACCTCAATGGTTTCCTCCCCTTATCCTGATGCACCATTTTCGCGAGGTGGGTTGCCCTCTGGGGAGTTTCGGCGTTTGATCCCAAAGGGTCTTGGTTGGGGGGGCGGTCATCTTTTAGTAGTTTACTTAGTACCCAGGCCACGTAGCGTACATGTTTGTAGATAGCAAGCAGGCTGCCATCGAGCACCACTATACAAGTTGTTGATCAAAAAAAAAAACAAGATGGGGCTCAGGCCAAAGGCTCAACAGCCAATCAGACACCATACAGCAATTCCTGAAACACCATCAACAATATTCAACCATCATTGATCATCCTCCTCCTCCTCCCACCACCTCACCAGTCACCCATCCAGCCCCAAAAACACGTCAAAAAGGTAAGTAAAGTGCTTTTTACTGTTTTTACTGACTAACACTGATATTCTGTGATGGCAGGACTCGCCCGCATCGCAGATGACGCGGCCCCCTCGACTTGGCCCCGCCCATGGCCCCTCCCCTCGCATAGGGATGTGGGCCGGCCCCCTCCTCCTCCTCCTATCCTCCCTTGATGCTGGGCCATCACCTGCAAACGGATGTTCAACCCACCTATCACTACTCGCCCCACCATCGATGATGGTCCCGATTCACCCACCCTCGGCCCCTCGAACTTGCATGCTGCGCACCCCTCCCCTCGAGTAGGGATGTGGGCCGACCACGAACACCCTTCTGACCCCACCCCACCCCTCTGCCCTCTCTGCTGTTGCCTGCTCTCTTGCCTCTTGCCCCTCGCCCTCGCATCACCCCTCCCCCTCAACAGGGATGTGGGTGGTGCCCTTTGTCCCACCACCCATTCTGCCAATGCTCGCCACTGTCTCCCCTCATCCGTCCTGTCTCCTTTCCTAAACTCCCCCATCCTCGGAGCCACGGCATCTCAAAGATGCCGTGTAACGGTTGGATGGGGTGGTATTCTGAGTTGAACGACACAACGAACGCTGGAGCAAGTCGGAGGATGAGCAAGGGAGGGCAAGGGAAGGGATGAGAGAGGGTGAGGGTGGACAAGCAACTGCAACAAAAGAGCATGGGTGATGCCACAAACCTGACAACCACGATGGCAGTAGCAGCGAATGAACAACCGAGCACTAGTAGCAAACGGGCAGCGAATGAACAAATGAACGAACACCACGATTCGCCTGCCACCCATCACTCTCAATAACCCTCGCCCTTCCCGTTGTTCTCCCACCCCTGCTTCATTCATCCACCATCCCACACATGCACACGCTGTCTCTCCAGTTCGTGCTGAGCACCACTCCCTTTCACAAGGATGTGGGTGGCTTGTTCCCCTACCCCTCGTCTCTCCCCTACCTTCTACCTGTTGCCACCCTCCAGGAACATGACCCGGGAGAAGAGGACACTCATGAGGCCGCAAGGACCAGCCAGCAGGGCGAGGACAGGGTGACAAGGACAGGGACGAGGATGACAGGATGGGGGTGAGGACGGCAACAGGGTGAGGATGGCAACAGGGCAAGGATGGAGTGAGGACAAGGATGGCAGCAGGGCGAGGACGACGACAGGGCAACAAGGACGACAGGGCAACAATGGTGCGACAATGACAGGGTGATAATGGTGGTGATAACTGGGAGATGACAAGGCAAGGTTACAATGATGGGATGAGGGAAAATACTACGCAAGGACAAATATGGTGCCAACCACAACCATGGCACAAGAACGACAATGAGAACGAGCATGATGGCACAAGAACGATGATGGCAAGGAGGACCGCAGCGTGAGCGCAAGCGAGCACAACCCGAAGCCAAGCACAACCCACCATGAGGCAAGGGAAGCGCAAGGAGCACAGCAGGAGGGGAAATGAGGCCAGCGCAGGGCAGGGCCCACCCGAGCAGAAACAGTGCACCATGAATGCGCCGTTTCCACTCATTTTATCTCTATAGATCTCAGAGCAGGTGGCTAGTAGAGCCACCTGCATCATGTAATTATTTTATTACAATTTAAAACAAAATTTTCTCATTTTTTCATCTGTCCTGTGAGCATGCCCGAACTCGCTGGAGGTTGTAACAGACGACGGCGAGCAGTGTCTGCCCTGAGCTATTCTGGGAATGCTCGGAGGCTTTGGGTAAAATCCTAAAAATAACCGATAACCAAAAAAAGGCCATGTCATCCAAGATACCCCCTCCCAATCCAGCCTATCCCGCCAACCTGACAGTGGGGGAAATGGTGCACAATGACGAGGATTTATATTTCCCCATTGTTGGAGCCTTTTCCCTGTCGAAAACGGGGGCGGGGGCGCCCCAAACGACAAGGAACAGTGTCTGGGCACTGTTTCCTGCAGTACTTTGTGGTTCCCCACAGAGTGCTATAGGACTCCACTGGACTCCAGTGGAGTTGGCATATTATCCAGTGGAGTCCAGTGGAGTCCAGTGGAATTATACTGGAGTTCAGTGGACTCCAGTGGACTCCAGTAAGAAGGTATAGTGGAGTTCAGTGGAGTGTGATACTGGAGTCTTACTGGAGTCTTACTGGACTCCACTGGACTCCAGTATATGTATCAAAATGGACTACTACTCAGTACCTATTACACATCAGAATAGATAATAGTCTGTTGAGCAATTGCCTAAGTCCAGCATATAGAGTATGTAATAAGATGCTTAATAATCATTCTTTTTAGGAAAAAGCATCAGAATTTGTAGAGCACCTTTGGTTGACCCTGAATCAAGTTATTTGATGTCATCAGCTGCTCTGCTTGGCAAGAAAAAAGCAAAATACTGAAAAAGTAGATTACTTTTACAAATTTTGGCATTATTTGGCATATATCTTATCACTAATAGAGCCAAATACCATCACTCAAGTGGATTCAGGATCACCTGTTATTGTAATTATCTTCTTTTAAAAAAGAAATTTCTCAGTCATGTGACCTGCATGTTTCATATTGTTAGCACCCCTAGTCCCTGTGTAGATAGAGCACATTTTGGCAAAATCCAATTTGTCACATGTGACTCTCATATTGATGTCATCAGCAAACTTGATAGCTTTATTACTTTTCATCAATGCCAAGTCTGGGCCTAGCAATTATATATTTATTAATTGTTTCTATTTGAGGCCATAACATCAAAGTTTCAGAAGCTGACCCTGAAGGAAAAGGCAAATAAAAAGTCACATGACCTGCCATCAACCTTGACATCAGTCATATTTCTCTTCTATGACTATGACATCTCTCTGCATTGTTCACTGGACTCCACTGGAGTTCTATAGGAGTCCAGTGGAAGATGGACACTCCACTCCAGTAGACTCCAGTGAACTCCAGTAGACTTTGGGTGGTGACTCCAGTGGACTCCAGTGAACTCCAGTGGAGTCCAGTAGGCACTTTTGGCTGGTGTTTCTGCTAATATATTTCTACCAGACTCCACTGGAGTCCACTGGAGTCCTATAGGGATACATGGGGGAGTGTAAAGACCTTGTTTCCTGTGTTGTTTGCATATGTTGACATGCCCTGCCCACAGCCACAAGCCCCGGCACACACGGCAGGGCCCTCTCCGTAGGTGGACTGTAAAAACACAGTCCTGACATATAAGCATACCTTGTTTAAATACAGTATCTGATACAGATTTCTAGCAGACATGGCTGCCTGACCCTGCATTGGAGAAGAAATTGTTTTGAACATACAGTGATGCAGATTTTGGAGGGGATAAGGATAGAGGGAAGTCAACAACTGGGTATATGGTGAAATTGGGAAGGGGAGCAGTGTGTTGGAGCAGCAAACTTCAGTCAATTGTGACCACATCAACCACAGAGGCAGAATATGTTGCAGGACTGGCAGCAGGCAAGGAGATATGTTGGGTGCAGAACATCTTGACTGAATTGGGCTACCATCCTGCTAAGCCTTCAAAACTCTACATTGATAACCAGTCAGCATTGTCTGTGACCAAGAATCCAGAGCATCATGGAAGAATGAAGCACTTGGATATCTCATTCTATTGGTTATGAGATCAAGTAGAGAAGTAGAGCATGGAGACAATTCATCTGCCCACAATGGAGATGCCAGCAGACCTGTTGACAAAAGCATTGCCAAAGCCTCAGGTGGAGAAACTGCAAAATATGATGGGCTTGGTTGCATGAGCTGTTTGGCTGTTTGCTCAGGGGGTTGTGTTTGTGGGTGATCAAACAGTTGGGGGGTTGTTTTAGATTGAAGAAGTGTTTTCTCAGGGGGTTGTGTTAGAATTAGTGAGAAATCACTTCATGGACTCTAAATGGACACTTCATGGACATTGTAGATAGATCTTATTTCGTTAATATCTCGTCACACACATTGATTCTCATTGTGTTTGTTCCATAGTTAATCTCATCTCGTTGTTCTGAACTTGTACATACTTGTTTCGTCTCTGTAGCTTAAGTAGATACTTTGTTAGACTTGTTTCTCGCTCTAGGCATGGTTTCTGGATGTCCGCCCACGCTTGGAGGTGCCAGTGCACAACTCGACCAAACAGGTCAGATTTCCTACTATGTCCTGGAAGCAGGTACACTATGATTGAACTGTTGGCTTAAACTTGCAATACACTTGATTATTCACCTTATCATTGGTTACTGCGCTTATTGTGATTGTTGTGTGATCAGTGTATCACTATCCACTTCGTTGCATAAGTTTAACAGGTTATGGGCCCCAGCTTCTAACTTGTGCAAGTGCTGATTGATACCTGTGTTTGCTTGTTACTTGAAATTGTTGGCTTGCTGTTTAACAGCATTTGAAACTTGTTGAAAACTCATCAAACTTGTTTGGAATTGTTTGGAATTGCAAAGATGTCTTCAGACACTTTGGCAAAAATCAAGCCCTTGTCTAAATCAAACTACAACCAGTGGTGTAGGGAGATGAAAGCATGGCTGATGTGAAATGGATTGTGGAGATTGGTTAGTGGAAAGGAAGTCAGGCCTACAGAGGCAAGCTGCAGGAGAAATCTATCTCCTTGTTGAGGAAGAGCAGAGGGTACATTTCTGAGGGCATGAAGAGGATCCAGTAAAGATGTGGAAATCTTTGGAAACTGCACACACTACAAAGCGGCCTGGTGCTAGGTTCAATGCTTATGAAGCACTGTTCAACATATCACTTGGGAGTGGGGAATCACTGTCAGATCCGGGCACACGAGTTGAGAGGGCAATGCAGAACATCCAAAATCTGCGCCCAAAAGAGTTCACTATTCAAAACTTGGATGAAGAATTGCAATGCATGGCACTGATTCGGGCTCTGCCTGATCAATACAAGCATATTTTGTCAAATTTGCTACTCGTTGAAAAGTTGGACAAGACAACAATTTTGGATTATTACAAAAGTGAAGATCTCAACTCGGAGTGCAAGGAAGCTTTGAACATGGCAAAGGCAGGCAGTAGTTGTGGTGGCAGACAAGGAGGGCATAGTGGGCAACAACAAACCAGTGGACCAGTAGTGGACAGAAACACTTGTCACTACTGCAGGCAAAAGGGTCATTGGAAAATTGACTGTCCTACCTTGAAGGCAGCCAAAGAGAAAGAGGGATCACAGAAGGCTCAAGGAGAGAAGGCAGCAGCAGTCACAGAATTTGCTGGTCAGGCAAGTGCTGTTTCTGAGTTTGAGGCATATTCTACTTCGTCTAACGTATTTCATTGGAACACAGACACAGGGGCCACTTCTCATATGACCCCACATAAAAGTTGGATTCGCAATTATACCCCTTATAGAGTGCCAATTAGGCTAGCAGACCATAGAATTATCTATTCAGATGGTGTTGGAAGTGTCTTGTTTTGTCCTTTGATTAATGGAAAGCAGAGTAGAGATATAGAATTGTCTAGAGTATTGCATGTACCTGCCCTTCATAATAATCTTCTTGCTGTCCTATACTTGACTCAGTATAAAAGCTTTGATGTACATATTTCTGGATCTGGAATGAATTTCTAAGTAGTGGGCTTTGTATTTTTTGTCAGAACATTCGTCATACATATGCACACGTCGATACTCTTCTAGAAATTTGTAAAACAAAATTCGATATTTTATTTTTCCAAGAAACCCCTTGGAATTTCATAAGGCACGCACCGTCCACCACTAGTATGGAGGGCGATGAGGTTATCGGCACACCAAAGCATCCCAACTGGCTGCAAATGATGCGCATTAAGGAAGGGGAAGTTCCCCGCGTGATCACTTATGTTTCGACTAGGCTATCCTGCTATCGTCCCGCTATGCGCCACGACATCGTCGACCATCATGACATCCTCATCCTCTCCCTCTTCAGCGGGGGTGAGGTTCTTAACTTAATGAACATCTACTCTGACAATCAACACACAGCCATTGAGCACCTCACTGCTCATGTGCATTCTTTACCACCTTTCATCTATATGGCTGGTGACTTCAACTGCGTGTCGACAACTTGGGATGACTATGAGCATGGCAAGTCGTCGACGGCAATATCATTGTGGGACACCGCATCTCAGATCGGCCTCGAGTGGGCACGACCTTCTAACCATGGACCGACGAGGATCAGTCCTAATCCAAACCAGAGATCCAACGTCTTGGATCTTGTATTCTTAGCTCCATCTGAGATTCTAATCTCGATGCCCAGATTGGAGCACGATCTCCAGGGTCCGTCAGATCATGTCCCGATCTGCACAGACCTTGATATCGGTCCCGAACCGCCCGGATCTGGGCGACGGACAATTAAACCCGGAAGCGAGGCTGAGAAGTCTTTCATTTCAGAGATTCTCTGGGACCTTGTGGCTGTTCCTGTTGCAGCCCCAGCTACCAAGGAAGGCATTGAAGCTTTAGCCGATGCTATCACGACAGCATTCTCGGACGCTTGGCTTGCCCATTTGACCGAGTCCAAACCTACCAAGCGCTCCAAGTCCTGGTGGACGGACGAGTGCTCGGAAACATTCGGAGTATATCAGTTGAGCCACTCGCTCACTGACTACAACAAGTTTAAGAAGGCGTGTAAGGATGCCAAGTGTGATTTCTTTGATGAACGTATCGCAGAAATTGCTACCTCTCACAAGCGCCCATGGGACCTAATGGAATGGGTCAAACAGCGCAAGCTACCACCCTGTGAGGCTATTCGCAATGGCGACCAGCCTTGCCACGATATGGACGACCACACACTTTGGGCACGTATGACGCCAATCATCAAGGTCACGAGTACAACGCCTCAGTCTTAGATGAGCTTCCCGATGAGCCAGTCCGGGAGTGGGCTGACTTTTCAGAGCATGAGTTGTTGAGTGCCCTTAAGGGGTGTTCCAACTCCTCTGCACCAGGACTGGACCACGTTACGTGGGTCCACCTAAAGGAGTTGCTCAAGGATAAACACGTCCTTGTGCTCTTCATCGTGCTGGCCAACGCTTGCCTTCGGGTGGGTCATTGGCCGCATATATTTAAGGAGTCGCTATTGGTTATTGTTCTGAAGCCAAATAAGCCCTCCTATTCCGTACTGAAGGCCTTCAGGCTGATCGTACTCCTCATCACTTTTGGTAAACTTATCGAAAAGATGATTGCCAATAGGATACAGTTTGACGCTGTCAAGCATGATATCTTCCATCCCAACCAACTTGGCGGCATTCGCCAGAGGTCAACTGAGGATGCTGGATTGATTCTGACCCATCTCGTGCGAGCGGGGTGGGTTAAGGGTCTCCAGACTAGCACGCTGGCTTTCGACATTGCGCAGTTCTTCCCCTCTATCAACTATGAAGTGTTCATGGCTGTCTTGCGCAAGCAAGGATTCTCGCCAATTTTGGTGGAGTTCTTTGCCTCCTATCTTGTTGGTCGTTCCACAGTCTACTGCTGGAACACCTTCCAATCCGACTCGCAGTCTGCGGACGTGGGTGTCAGGCAGGGCTCAGCTCTCTTGCCTGTTATCTCTGGGCTGTTCATTGCTCCGGTAATGAAGCTCTTCTATATTAAAGCGGCGCTGCTCAACATGACGCTGCTTTCCTTTGTGGATGATGGGACCATCTTGGCCCAATCCAAACAACTCGATGATAATAATGTGGGCCTGCATAAGGCCTACAAGATTATCTACCTCCTCTTTGTTGCCTTCGCACTCGTTCTTGAACACGACAAGACTGAGCTGTTCCACTTTTCGCGTCAACAAGATGCCTACAATCCCTCGCTGGATTTGGGGTATGCCCCACATACCGGTGCTACACCTTTGAAGCCCAAGACCTATTGGAGGTACTTGGGCTTCTACTTTGACATGGGCTCACGTTTCATGAGCATGTCTGCTACTATGCCACTAAGGCGTTCACCACTGTGCAGGCCATGCGCATGCTCGGGAACTCTACCAGAGGTCTCTCGCCTAAACAGTGGTGCCTCCTCTACAGATTGTGTGTGGTTCCCATTGCCACATACGGCTATCGTCTCTGGTATTTTGATGGCACCCGCAATAAGGGCGCGATGAACCAGCTAAAACGGATGCAGCGAAAAGCTGCTCTATGGATCACAGGTGCTTTCCGCACCTCCCCCACAGGCAGTCTCGAGGCCCTCGCTGGCCTCATCCCCTCCATCTTATGCTGAAGAAGCTGGCAACGTGCGCAGTGTACTGCGTCGCCACCCTCTCGGACACCCACCCCTCTTCGCTCCATGATGGGCGAGGGACTCCTTAAGTGAGCTGCACCACATGCTCGCTCAGCCGCCTTGATGACCCCAGCTATGCGAGGGAAAGTCAAGAGCACTGTCATGGAGGTGGACGAGTGCGTCCACACCTTAACTGAGAGCTTCGAGCCCTTTGTGCCTGAAGCTCACCCAGGCGATCGGTTACTGGACCGCTATGCGGACCGTCTCCACTTTGACGAGCACGATCCTGCCCAGGATAGGTGACCATATCTAGATGAGCTCATTGCAAAAGCAAGGGCTGACCCTTTAACAGTACTGGCTGCAACTGATGGCTCTGTCCCTCAGTCCAACCAGTATCAGGCGGCTTTGGCAGCCATCATCTACAAGGGACATCGCGAGCTCGAAAGGACTCATTACGTCTCTGGCAGAGTTACCATCCCAGATGCGGAACTCAATGCCATCTCGTGTGCAGTGCGCCTAGCGGTCAAGCAGGCAAACTGCCAACATATTATGGTCTTTACTGACTCTATGGGCTTGGCCTGTAGAGCGGTTGACCCCTCCATGCACTCTGGTCAGGCTTTCAGCCTGTCAGTTTGTCACGCTCTCCAAGAGTGGTTTGAGGCGGACGATCTCTGCCGCATCACCTTTATCTACGCTCCATCTGCTTTGCAGTGGGATATTCATGGTGAGGCACACAAGTACGTCACCAAACTCAAAGTCAGGGTTGGATGTCGCAAGACAGACAACTCTATAGACGTGCTACGCTCCCGAGCCGCGCACTCAGTCCTGGATTCGTGGAGTTCCACTTTCCAGGATCCAACCTACCGAGGCTCTGAATTCTTAGAGCTTCAACAGCCTGATGGGCAGCCGCTACAGCCATCGTACCTCAATGGGGGACCTTGGCTTTCAACCTTTGGACACAGTATCACTGAGTTCGCTCGCGTTTGCCAGTGTATAACTGGCCACACGCCCATTGGAGCGTATTATCGTCACTTCAAGATCAACGAGCCTCATGGCTGCACTTGCGGGGCTGCTTTGCAGTCTCGCCAGCACATCCTCTTTCGCTGTTGTGATCGCTACTCTGTGCATTACCCCTGCTTTCTTGGGGATATTGCATCTTTTATGAAGTACAACTCTACAGCGTTTGGCTTCAACCAGGACCCTTCAGGGGTCGGATAATCGCTGCCGGCGGGGTTATTCCTCCTTTTGGGGGATTTAGGGTGAATTAACACCACGAGCCTAAGGGCTCGGCGACCTGCACCAGCTTCACTTTTTCGTGCTTGCGGCCGCTATTGTAGTGTGTTGTGGCGCTGCTAACTTTCTGCGTCTGGTCTCGGGCAGGCGCTTCTCTGGCTTGTTGGCCTCAAGACACCCTGCTACCTCCCGGGTGGTGCTGTTCTTATCTCATTTGCGCTGCGTGGCCTCCGAACAGCGTCTGGCGACTTTGGGGTTTAGTGGGGCCTTGATGGTCTCTTCCCCTTATCCCGCATCACCATTTTTGCAAGGTGGGTCTGGCTTTGTGCGAGCTCTGGCATTCGAGCACAAGGCTCGTGGTTGGGGGGGCGGACGTCTTTTAGTAGTTAACTTAGTACCCAGGCCACATAGCGTACGTGTTCGTAGATAGCAAGTGGGCTGCCATCGAGCATCGCTATATAAATTGTTC